TCTGGGGGTGGTGGGCGGGGCCCCCCCCCCGCCGCTACCCCAAGTATCTCAGTGACATCACGGACGCCCTGAACCCCCAGTGCTTGGCCGCCGTCATCTTCATCTACTTTGCTGCCCTGTCACCCGCCGTCACCTTCGGAGGCCTGCTGAGTAATGGGGGGGACAGGCTGGGGACATCCCAGGGGACAGGGAGGGCCGAGGCAGGGCACAGGGATGGGGCATGGAGGGAGGGTACCACCCCCTGGAGCATCATCCCGCTCCATCATCCCAGGGAGGGGAATGGGGGTTGCTGTTCCTCCCACGGCCGCAGCACCCATGGGAGACGCAGGGGTCCGCGCTCACCCGTTCCGCCGCTCTGCAGGTGAGAAGACCAACGGCATGATGGGGGTGTCGGAGCTGCTCATCGCCACGTGCGTGCAGTGCGTCCTCTTCAGCCTGCTCAGCGCCCAGCCCCTGCTTGTCGTCGGCTTCTCGGGGCCCCTGCTCGTCTTCGAGGAGTCCTTCTTCACGGTGGGTGCTGGCCTGCGCCCATGGGTGCCCCCGGGCCACCGCGAGGGGCTGATGGTCCCTGCGGGGGCTGATACCTGGGTGATGTCCCAGGGAGATGCCCTATGGGAGATGCCACCTGGGCGAAGCCACCTGGATGGTGCCCTGTGGGTGCTGATCCTTGGGTGATGGTCCCATGGGAGATGCCACCCAGATGGTGCCCCGTGGGTGCTGACCCATGGGTGCTGACAGCCCTAGGGTGCCCCGTCCCCATCCCTCAGCCCCTGGGTGCGGGCATGGGGCCGTCACAGGACACCCAGGCTGGGTCATGGCCAGGGGCTGGAGGTGACAGGGCTGTGTCCTCTCCTTGGGACAGTTCTGCGAGAGCAACGACATGGAGTACATCGTGGGCCGCGTCTGGGTGGGCTTCTGGCTCATCCTGCTCGTGCTGGTGGTGGTGGCCTGCGAGGGCAGCATCCTGGTGCGCTACCTGTCCCGCTACACCCAGGAGATCTTCTCTTTCCTCATCTCCCTCATCTTCATCTTCGAGACCTTCGACAAACTCTTCAAGGTGCAGGATGGGGGTCCGGAGGGATGTGGTGGCCTGTGCTCCATCCCAACCGGATCCTGAGCCGCTTCTTCATCCCTGAGCAGATCTTCAAGGCCCACCCGCTGCAGCGTCACCACAACGTGACGCCCACGCTGCACCCCACGGCCATCCCCGTGGAGGAGCCCAACACGGCGCTGCTCTCCCTGGTGCTCATGGCCGGCACCTTCTTCCTGGCGCTCTTCCTCCGCAAGTTCAAGAACAGCGCGTTCCTGCCCGGCAAGGTGCACGCGAGCGGCGGCGTTGGCTTCGCGGGGGGGCTGAGAACTTGCAAACTCGCCGCGTGCCATCCCCAAACTCCTCGGAGAGCTGTGGTGATCCAGGTTCTCCCTACAGGTCCGGCGCTTGATCGGAGACTTCGGGGTGCCCATTTCCATCTTCGTCATGGCGCTCGTTGACTTCTTCATCAAGGACACGTACACGCAGGTACCGCCAGGGCCCACCCAGGCACTGGGACCCCCCAACCCGGCCTCGTGCCCCCATTGCAGCCCCTCACTGCCCTCCCTCTCCTCCTGTCCAGAAACTGAAGGTGCCCAAAGGCCTCGAGGTGACCAATGCGGCCGCCCGCGGCTGGTTCATCCACCCCTTGGGCAACCATAAGATCTTCCCTATCTGGATGATGTTCGCCTCTGTGGTGCCAGCCCTCTTGGTCTTCATCCTCATCTTCCTCGAGACGCAGATCACGACGTAAGGGGCAGCGGGGAGGGGGCTGCAGCGCGTCAGGGGGAGCTGCACAGCGGCGAGGAGAAGCGTTGGGGACGAAGGGCCTCCATGCATGATGCCTGGTGTTCCCCCCAGCCTCATCGTGAGCAAGCCCGAGCGGAAGCTGGTGAAGGGCTCGGGCTTCCACCTGGACCTGCTGCTCATCGTGGGCATGGGCGGCGTGGCCGCGCTCTTCGGCATGCCCTGGCTCAGCGCCACCACCGTGCGCACCATCACGCACGCCAACGCGCTCACCGTCATGAGCAAGGCCTCGGCCCCCGGCGACAAGGCCCAGATCCTGGAGGTCAAGGAGCAGCGCATCAGCGGCTTCCTGGTGGCCGTGCTCATTGGTGAGCCCCTCCGCGCGGGACGACGTCCCTCGTGTCCCCTGGCTGTCCCCAACCACGCTGGAGCGCCCTGAGCTGCTCTTCTCCACCACAGGCATCTCCATCCTCATGGAGCCCATCCTGAAGTACATCCCTCTGGCCGTGCTCTTCGGCATCTTCCTTTACATGGGCGTCACCTCCCTCTTCGGCATCCAGCTCTTTGACCGCATCCTGCTCATGCTGATGCCACCCAAGTATCACCCTGACGAACCCTACGTCAAAATGGTGAGTGCCTGGTCCCAGGGAGGAGAGACCGGCCATGGAGCTGGGGGTATCCCAGGATGGATCCTCATGGGATGCTCCCCTAAAACTCCAGAGGTTCCTGATCCCACTCGGCGTTTCCTCCCTCAGGTGAAGACCTGGCGCATGCACCTCTTCACCTTCACCCAGATCGTCACCCTGGCCGTGCTATGGGTGGTGAAGTCCACGCCGGCCTCGCTGGCCTTGCCCTTCGTCCTCATCCTCACCGTGCCCCTCCGGCGCTTCCTGCTGCCCAGGATCTTCCAGGACATCGAGCTCCAATGCGTACGTAGCCCCGCGGCCCTGGCGCGCGCCCCCCAACCCGGACTCCCCCTGCCTAATGGTCTCCCCTTGCCCGCAGCTGGACGCTGACAGCGCCACCGTCACCTTGGACGAGGTGGAGGGCAAGGACGTGTACGACGAGGTGCAGATGCCCAGCTAAGGCGCCTCGGCGGCCGGCGGGGGACATGGGTCCGCTCCGGCCCCCCAGGTCCCTCCCTGCAACAGGGATATTTTTAAATAGGAGTATTTTTAAATAGGAGTATTTTTAAATAGGAGTATTTTTATTTTTCCTCTTTTTTTTTTCTTTTCTTTCCCTCTTTTTGGTGCCCCCATCCCATCCCTTCCTGGGATATCCAAGAGCAGAAGGGCAGGGAAGGGGAGCACTAAAGAGGAGGGTAACAAAGCGGGGCGCCCCATATTCCCCTCCCCGCTTCCCCGCTGGACCCTGACGAACTCTTGGTGCTAACGAGCCCGATGGGCTCCGCGTGGCCGGGACCTTTTCCCCAAGGGCCACGTCATTTTCCACCTCTTTCTCCACCGCTTTCCTGGGACTGGGGCGCTTTGCTGGGCGCCCAGGGCTGCTGCTGCTTGGATTGACTTTGTGGGTGTCCCCCCCCCCTCAAAAAAAAACCCTCAGGGCCTTTCCCTGGGGTTGCATTAACTTCGCGGTGTCGCCCCCGGGGCCAGGATGTAAATAGTCTTGTAGAGGGGGGGCTTGTGTATTTGCAAGGGAGAAAATTGTGCAAAATTGTGTGTCCCTCCCGCAAAAAAAAAAAAAAAAAGAAAAGAAAAAACAAAAAACAAACAAAACAAAACAAAACAAAAACAGGAAAAAAATGCTGGTGCTTCTGCAGTGAGAGTATACTAAAAAAGAAAAAAAAAAGAAAAAAAAAAAAAGGAAAAAGTGAAAAAGTGCCTAATCCCCCCCAGCTGCGAGGAGTGATCTGTATATTTGATGCCAGCGACTGGGAGAGTTTGTAATTTATTTGCAAAGGCTGCGTGTGCTTCTGGCGCGAGAGGAGCCGGTGTGGCGCGTGCGTGTGTATATACCGAGGGCCAGGGTCGGGGTTAGGGTCTGCGCTCTACAGCCCGGTGCAGTGACATCGTTGCTGATCTGAGCTTAGTCTTAATGAATTAGTGGTGAATATTAATGAATGTCGTAGTGCCAAGCCTCCTTTTTAGTTCTTTTTTATTATTTCTATTATTTTGAGCATTTCGGTGAAACCCCTGCAGCTTCCCACAGCCTGTTCCCAGGGGAGCCTCTCCCCAACGGGGCCGTGTGCGGCTTGCTTTAGTTTTAGCAATCATGTGTCCACAATAAACTATATGACTGCGTGCTTTGATTTTATATTTTTCTTCCCAATCTACCTGTGTATCATGCTTTAATAAAGAAATGAATGTTAAAGACACCCTGAAGGAATGGGGGTCTTTCTTCTTGCTTGGGGGTTCGAGCCCTCGCTGAAAGGGCTCAGCCCTGGCCCGCGCCGGGATGCTCCTCAGGGGGGTCCTGGGATGCTCCCTGCTGCTGTGCTGGGATCTTCCACGGCCATCCCGGGATGTTTGCTGCAGCCATCCTGGGATGCTCACCATGGTGGTCCTGGGACGCAGTGATCCCGGGATGCTGGCCGTGGTGTCCTGGGATACTCCCTACCGACATGGAATCACATCCCGGGATGCTGGCTGTGTCCGTCCCGAGATGCTCTCCATGGTGGTCCCCGGACCCTCCCCATGGTGCTCCCTGGACACTCGCCGTGTCCCACCCCAAGCAGAAGGGTCCTCCCTGCACCCCCACAGGGATCCTCTCCCCTCCACGTGGCT